TAGCTCTTCGCAAAAATCAATATGATTTTTTTTAATTACTTCAAGTATATCAGTTCGTATCGAATACCGTTACTAGGCGCGCTTGCAAGTGATAGGAAATCCTCGTGTTTTTAATTAAAATTCAAGATGACAAGACCCTTCTGTTAAAGAGTACACCTTCAAACCGGTTTGTTTTGCCTTCATGTCAATTGCACATTGTGTCTATATTTTTGAAACAGAAATAATAGTAAACTATGTAGGCTAAAAACAATCATCAAAAAATAAACTGTTCTATATAAGTATTACAGTATACTACAATAAAAGTTGTAACGTCTGAATAGAGTTTCGTACTGAAAATCCGAAACACCTGGTTTTATTCTCCTGGTGTATTCTTCAAAAGTTCGGTATAATTCCTTTCTTCTTTTTTTCCTAATCTGATCTCTAAATTGATCGATATTTCTTTTGTTTTATGAATGTAAATTTCGATACTTAGAATCCGCCATTACAAATCAATAATCCTTAATTGACGGAAACAGTTATTCAATTAATAAGGCTAATGGCCGTTCTAAGGTTTCTCATCTGGTTCCAGTCTCTAACATATATTGTCAGGATTATCTTCTGTTGTTTGCAGTTTTCAACATCTTAGAAAGTGGGTGTGTAAAGAGATATACTTTATACTATACTCACGAATAGCTTTCTGTCTTACATACCTATCATCGGTGAACGGTCGTCATGCGACAGAGACAACCACCAGGACGAAGTTGTCCTTGCTCGTCTTCGGATGGGCCATACATACCTTACACAATCCTATATCTTGAAAGGCGAAGTTAACCTTTGGTGCATAGGATGTGATGAGTCATTCATCGTTAAGCATTTTATTGGACTGCCTTGAACTTATGTTTACTTGAGAATTTTTTATTGTAATGTTACAAGACTAAATACTCTTTATGAAACTGATGATATTTATAGCATTCTAGGTTATCTAAAAGATTTTGGATATAGAATATTACTTACCATTTTAATCTTTTGTGATAATATAAACATTAAGACTTTCAGCATTTGTGTTTTACCTTTTAGTTTGTTTGATGTTATATCCTTTTTGAATCGCTGTGTCTTTCACTTGTTGATGGCCCTAATGACCTTTTATGTGTTGACGGGCCGTAAAAATTGTAATAATGATAACTTTCTTACCGCCTTTTTTCTTCTTTTTTTCACTTACATAGCTGTACATGTCGGTACCGAGTGTTGGTTGGTCACAAAATAAATTAAATCAATGCTTGTTCATGAAGCCAGATCAAACATGTGCCTATGTCCGTTGATAAATATTTTTGCTGATGTAAATTCAATACGTCCTATTTATTATTTCATTTTTTCAATTTTTTAATGAGGAGTTAGAGTAGAGCATTATTAAAGTAATCGAGGTGCTTAATCTCATTCAATGGTAAGATCGAAGTTCAAAAGATTCGGAGCAGAATGTAAACATTTATTTTTCACGCTTAAGAGTGTTTAGAACTATCCCTTGACTACGAATATGCCCTTTTTGTCTGTTTATTTCGACTAGATGCAGTTTGTTTTCGTGTCAACTGAATATTGACGTAACATTGCACAATGCAGACATCCCATATGTCTGCAAATGGAGGTCTGACTTGGTATTCGAACATTTACGTGATCTGGAGCCCACTAGCTACTACAAGTGTCTAAAAGTCATGCATTGAACCCCTAGTTTGTCACTGAAAACAACTCCCGGTGTGGCGGTGTTTTCCATCCATTTGAACAAACAATACTATACTGGAAACGATAACGACATTTGAATTGAACATGAGAGACTGTAGGGACACCGTTGATCTGCAACTTGATGGGAATTGAAGCCACATATAATCATAGTTTTTGTCGATTCGGTCAATTCAACAGCGTTTGACTGACAATCACGTAATACGTTTTAGGCATCGATGCAGTGTCAGCTCAGACATGCATTGCATGTTGCATGTATTGTTGGGATGCCCTCGCGTTATATGTGTATTCTAGATAATAATCGAACACAGGCATGTTCGGACTATTCGAGGTGGGATTTACTGGTAAATCCTTTTTTTATATTTATTTTTTGGAAAAGTACCACTTGTGCATATTCATTCTTTCCAGATCCATTCTATGGCAGGATGAAACTACCAACCTTAACATGCGATTTTTTTTATATAATTGTAATTTATACAGGTATAGTGTTTGTCTTCCAGATGTGATTTACTATCGTTCATTTTTTTCTTTTTCTTTGTTTTGTTTCTGGGGGGGGGGGGGGGGGGGGGGGGGTTGTTTGTATTTTTTTTTTTTTTTTTTTGTTTTTGTTTTTTGGGATTTTTTCTTAATTTTTTTGTAAAACAGTTTTAACATTTATCACTTTGACTGCTTTAATAAAGATATGAAATAATAGATTTTACATAGAATCAATAATCATAATAACATGTCAATGGCCAACTAACCAGAAAGGATACAACTAGCAATAAGAAAATACCAACATGTCAGGTAATCATTATCCAAACTCAAATTCAATAAAAATTGAGTGAAATATGAACAAAAGAAAGAGTTGCACGGAGACTTCTGAAAAAGACCAAGGATAATAGGACCAGTTGTTACGGAACAGTAAGTGTCTTCCGCTTCCGCCAGCAATGTAAACATTGGTTAATCCAAGTAATTAATGTCACGTTCTCTAATGAGAACAAGGTATACAACATTAGAATCAACATGCTCGTGAATATCGAATGTCAACTACAACATGTAAACACCATAGGTTGGGGATTCAGGATCGTTCCTATCCAAAAATGGAAAATTCACAATAGTGAAATAGAAAGCATCACACCTATCATACAGATTGATGGAAAGCTGTCCATGTCAATTTCGATGTAGGAAAAGATCGAGATAAGCGACTGATGTGGTACCAACAAGCAATAATCAGTATAAGTATATAAATCATAAATGGATAATGGTTGAACGTTCAGACAGACTACCTCAATCAAATATCACAATCCTGGTCTGAAAAAGTACCATGCATTAAATAGCTACATCAGATAAAAACTACCTACACTTCAACAAAATCACAATCGAAACTAAATCGGAAATAAATCAATGCAGTAAAAACAAAGGATACACCAACATAGGAACAGAATCATAATTCAAACTAAAAGTCATTAAAAAATAGGACAAAATCGGAACCACAGAAAGGCAAAACACAACATAACACGACCCTTTTTCATTAATTCATTTTGTTTTCATAAAGAAATATATATAGTGTGTGCATAAAAAGTGAACATATGGCATGTAATAAACTATCTACAAATACTGGATGTCAGAATATTCGTTGCCTGTTCGTCAACTGTCACGAACGACATGTTCAGGCATGAAAGGTATGGCTCCTCTGTGTAACAGACTGTCAGAATGTCTGTAGGTAAGTATGCAATCATTGGTATTTTGGAGAAGCACTGATTTTATCTATAGACTAAAGGGTCCTATCTTGTCCTAAGCGACAGGTTTACTTACTATAATGACCAGAGAATGATGCTTCAAACATTTGTATCAATTTTTTTCTTATTTGGTGCACTTCAATTCGACAGGCACGCGGGTTACAACGCTCATTTTGAGTGACGTAAAGCATGTTTTATTCCAACGATGTGTTTTTTGTCCTTGGCAATCTTGTGTAGTTTGGGCTCAAGTAGACTTTAATAATACATTTGATCTTGATAACCAGTTCTTGTTCCAAAGTTCAGTCCAGCTGATAGTTTTATTGACAAACTTGAATTATTTCTTGGACAGGAAATATGAACAATTATTTACGTAATCACAGGCGAAATTGTCAGGGGAAATTGTGAATCATCCGAAAGTAGAAACAGGTGACGTTTTTCAGACTAAGACAAATACATTTTTTGAGATTGTGTGGGACAGGTTTGATTGATGGTTAGATGTTCAGGAAATAATACGTCTACCCAGGAGAAGATGAGAAGCTTGTCCCGAATGCGTGTTTGCATTGGGAATATCTTCTGACAAAATGCTTTTAGTGATATACAGAAAAAGGGTGATTGCATACTTCCACCTGTCAAGTCAAACTTTCTGTAACATTTCCTGAGAAGTGATATGACGTCAATAATAAAGAAGACGACTTGAGAATGCATTGGTGTAGCGAATGTATTTTAGGGGTGTATGGACCCCCGGTTGGCGGAAGGGGGGGGGGTGCGATGTTCCCCTGTAGCTGTCTGGTATCAGCCAATCAGAAATATCTTTTCTTTTAACACCAACACATTTTTTTCAAATGCAGTAATAATTTTTGCCAACAACAATCGCTGTTTTGAGCGTATGCTAAAGCATTCCGGCATACATCACTGCTACGCTACTGATACCGAAAACAAATCCAAGAAAAAAACGAGTATTGTACTTTTATAAAGACATTATGTAATCCTTCGAAAATAATATTAGTTTTCGTTATTCTCAATATTTTTTTAAAAAAAAGTGTCGAATGGTCCCAGATTATATTTAATTCAACATGAAAGGGACGAGATTAGCAGAATTTCCGGTCCAATTTTGAGAGAATGGGTTCTAATTTTAGATACTAATATTGACCCTAAGAGGCGCTTGAACAAAGTACAAGAATAATACGACCAGGTATTCCGAAATGGTAAGCGTCTACTGCTTCATGGACGTCACCTGCCAAGTTATTCTTTCACAATCTAAACTATGTTTAAAATTGTATTTAACGACGAATAAACCCGTATGTATTACGACACAACCTTTTTTTTTATTTTTGATACAGTGATTTTGAAAGAGAAGAGGATACATACTGTGTACTGAAAATCACTTTCATTTCGCGTGGGATGTATTTTCGCGTTAATTAAAACGCGAGGAGATTCAAACGCGAATTCAAATCCCTCATTATTATTTGCACGTTATTAACTCCGCGTGGCTTCCATGTTGATTCGGTAACCGATATCGGATTTAAAGTCATTTCTATATCAGCGATCGTGAAATATGTATTCGCGAATATGTCTGGAGAGGTAAGTCCGCGAAAAGAAGTTGTTACTAAAGCTAAGTGATTTACAGTACTTTTTACTTATTTATTGACATCAGCTGTTTATTGTTTTACAAATATCAAAATAGCATCGTCCGTATTGATGAGTTGGTCATGTTGTGAGTGCTATACTACGAACCAAAGCTATACATTCGTTACACTAGTCTCACTCAATCAGACACTTGATATTTTGGCATGACAAGCGCAGATGACAAGAAGCTGGTTGAGCGAGACTTTACTTGTCTCCAGATTAAAGATTCTTCCAAACACCTGATGATTTTCCCGGCATGGTTTATTGCCCTCAAATCACTTCGTCAACATCTGATCCGATGCCAAATGTCTCAGTCTCTTTTGATGTGTGTAACTAATCTGAAGACAATAACCTACAGTCAATATCAAACGGCTGATCAAATGCTAATGTACACGGACATGTGCCTGAACAGCAGTGTTTTTGACTGGACACTCACCTGAAATTAATGACATGTAGAAATAACTTGGGGATCTTGTTATCACGTCTACTGGGTAAACACATGCGACAAATTTCTCTTACGACTAAATTGCTTACTGGGTTTACAGCTAAAATACCGAGGTGTACGAAGGAACATCTTATTCGTCAAAAGAAAGTTTTTTTCATTTGGAACAGGTTTCACAGATAACCCCACCATGATACTGACAACTCAACAAAGCCTGGACAGTGTATCATCTGATATTGCATTGAGAAGGAGTAATGCATCATCTACATATATACAAAAGTATTCTCAACATACAAAACTTCGTGTTATAAACTTATTATAATCTATCTCGAAAAACTTTTCGAAATCAAAAGCTTCTTGACAGTGTCATTTCATAAGTGTTTGCTCACATCACAGATCGTCAGAAAGTAATTGACATACCAAACATTTTTCGTGAAGGAAAATCGTTACGAAGAGAAATTGAAATGTTTGCTAAAATCGCAAAAGTATGCTGCACTTACAGTTGAAAACTTGAAAACATGTTTTTTTTTTTTTTTTTTTTAACTGTAAAACTTTAAACTTTTAACTTTAAGAGAAGAATGTCTAAAAGATGCACTTGTGAATGGCAACTTTAGATACACATAGATTTAGATGTCGTAGTTAAACAATCTATGTGTACTTTACAGCTTCCGTCAGTGAAGATGTGAACCTCAAGAGCTTACAGATGACTGAGAAAAAAGTTGATCGAGATCAAGTATTTATCATTGTAGGATGGTGTTTGTTTGCACGAGATCAAATTAAGTGCTGTTTTATATTGCGTCAAACAAGGAGTTTCAAGTACCATTTCACTGACTTGTGTATAACAAGACTTGGCGATAGAACGTAGGGCTTACCTCACAGCGTCAGACGCTAAGCTTAAACCTTAACACTGCGACAGTGACAGGGGAGAAATGAGGAAGAGAAAAAAATGTTTAGAAAGATTTTGTTTTATGTTAAAAGTCACTTTTTTACTATTATTTCGTACAGGTAATGGTAAAAAAAACTTAAAACGAAAGTTTTGGGCGGAAATGTCCGAATGCGCAATGTTGAAAGATAGACATGCATCGAAAATAGTGAACTATATAACTAGATATTAGCGCATTAGAAAAAATAGCAACAGTTTGGAGGGTCTTAAGCAAGAGAGAAAGCAATCCTTCAGTCTGTGAATGCAAATAGTACACATTACCCTCAAACTCGAAAAACATATTGACATTTTCTTAAATCGAACTGTGATTGCAATGTCGCCAACGGAATCCATACAAGTACTAATTAAAAGTTCTTCCTCTTGGTGGAAAAGAAATATTTTATTATACCTCAGAATGTTGATCTAAATTTGGAACTGACTGATCCACTTTAATTTACAACCGTCTTTTCTTCGTGAAGAACAATACTTGATAATAGTGCTTCTTTGTCCGTAACCTCGTGATTCTGTTCTGAATTAATGAATGATCTCGTGATTTTGTTCTGAATAAATGAATAATACAACTTTATCAATTATGTTCGTTTTTATCGATTTTCCGTGCATTTGTTTTGTGGATTTGTATTTTAAGGTACCAATGCTATCATCTTGCTAAATACTTTTAGCTGTGTGACATAATACATTTATAAATCATGGGCTTTTAAACATGTAGGTGGATATATCAGTTAATTAACCAGGGCAGGATATTTATGGACAAAGATAAAGTGCACATTGTCAACGAAACACGTTCTGATGAGAATTTACGCAGCGTATGTACTTGACAGAACATCCCTGGGTGAAAGGGTAACAACATACCTGTACAAAGAGCACTATGGCATGTTCGTTGTTTGTTTGTTTGCTTGTTTGCTTGTTTGTTTGCTTTCGGGGGTTTTGTTTGTTTTCTTTTGTATTTTGTTTTGCTTGGTTTCTTGTCTTTCTTTTTTTATTTGTTTTGTTTTTGGTTTTTATTTTCTATCTCGGCTCTCACTTAAGAAACGCGACATCATTTCAATAGACCTATATTTGTGTGACTATAGTGATTAAGGCTTAGTCATCTGGTTATGTTATCCATGTAAATGTAGGTGTTCTTTTCTTTTTTCTTAGTTATGTGTTTTATCTTTTTGAGTTTGAATTAAGATTTTATTTTGGTGTCGATAGTCTATCGCTGTTACTAAAAACGTGCAATAAGGGTACATATTAAGCGTCTAACCATAGTAATATACAGTTAAAATATATCGAAGTTATTGATTTGCAAGTGACCACATATTGATTAATGTCAATTATGAAAATCGGGACTTAACATAGCTGATCATCTTGATGTCAGAGACAAAGTATGTTGTTGATCGACAGAATTTTAGTGCATGTTATCCGAGATGATAAAACCGAGTTATCTTCTCACAAAACACGTTTGTCCGCTCGAATGTTGATTAATAAAATTATTCACCATTGGCTTGTTGATAATGTACAAATATATAAGATGAAAACTTTATTTGTTTTACAAAAATTGCGAAACAAACTTTCATCTTATACTAATCACTCTTGTTGACCCGGATGGAAGCGCCCTAGGGGTCTTATTGTGGGAGGAAACCGGAGTACCCGGGGGAAACCCACGTGGTCGGGCAGGTGACCCCTAACTTTTTCACGTCGGAATCGAACCCAGAACGGCCAGGTGAAAGGGGAGTGCGTTATCACTGCGCCACCCGACCACCCAATAACAATTATCATGTACAATTTTCTATAGCTAAACATTATTTGATGTTACTGCATCTAACTCTAGATTATTAAAAGGTGCTGTTCCCTTGTGTGTCACAATCTTTAGAGACCTAACACATTGATAAGGTTACAAAATGTTTTCCCATTAGCTTATAGGTATTGATTGTCGATCAATTAGGAACTTTAATTTGTCGGTAGATTTTTGTTTCAATTTCTATATCAGGTGTTCGGGTTAGATCCCTATTAGAACAATACCAGGCACCAATATAGGATATCTGCCGATTATAAAAGTGACTTGTGACTGATGTGTGTGGACAGAGAAGACATCCATGTTTGCATTGCTTTATATGCCTTCGTCAATCAAACATTTGGTTTTCAAACAACAAGACAAAAACAAACAAAAAACAAAACAAAAACAGGCAGAACAGACAAGGTCAGAACATCTGTTGGAATACTTATTCTGCGAGAATATCTAACGTTTTCGTGGTTCGGACATCACGGAAGATACTTAAAAATGACCCTTGATTGGTCCAAATCAAGGGCGTTAAAACCACCTGTCGCAAACTTATTTCATGTAATTTGCGCTAAGAAACATTAAAAAAGAAAACCTTTATTTGGCCTATTAATTTAATCTGATACGTGTTTATTTCATGTTCTACAATTATTCCGGAGTCTCACAGCACACATTAAGAGTGTACTTAAAGTTGATATGTCGTACTGTTGTGTGTTAATACTGATACTAAACTGAACGAAGAAATTACCGCCATTGAACAAACAATAAAAAACAATCAAAACAAATCGCATTACATTTAACTGTTTTGTTCCTGGATTTAATTTCTTTGAGTGGCCTTCGTTAAGATACTCAAGCGGCTTCCGTACTGGAAGGCTTCGGTAATTTCCGTGATCTGATGTCCGAGCTTCCACTCAAGGGAGATAATCCCATGATTCTCGTATTATTGGTGATTGACTTCCATACAAGTTGTTTGTAATTGGAGGATCAAGCTTAGTTGGGTTATCTTTCCTTGGGGAAAAATATTTTTCAACGGCAACAATGAATACGCCCAGAGAATCACACTTTGTGTGAGAACGTTGTTGTTTAAATGAAATAGCGAAAGTACTGGGTCTTTTTATTCTCCATAAAATCAATGCCTGATTGTCATTTTACACCGAGGAGAACGATCCCTTCTAGGATTGTCGAGACTTACATTGAGTAATCCAGATGGCACTTACTTTGTTAACCTAGATTTTTTTTAGATTTAGTTTGAAATTTCAGATATCAAGTACTAACAAATGTGACATTATTGATTTTTTTTCAACCAAAATACCTTAATGTATTTGATATCAGTATTGAAAAAAAATATCTTTTTATTTTTCAATTTTTTCTCAAACTTTGTAGTAATTTTTTATTATGTTCTGGTCACATTGTTCAGGAAATCGTGGAAGGTTGATCACGTGTTTCATTTTTCAGTAAAATAAACCTAAAAATCAAGGCGGTGGTTAATAAGGAGATCGATTGCATGACACAGTTTTGCTATCTACAGACATTGAATGATTTTTTTAAGGAATAAGCATTATGTTCCAAATGAATCAGTGGCGCGAAACATCGTAAGTCCACGATAATAAAATGTTTCACATAATGCCGTCCTTTGGTCTATCGGCAACGTAGACGTAGAAATGCCAAAGTTTGAATTACCGCTGGATTTACTTTGAAATCTTTATCACAAAAACGCTTGAAGCTATTATACCTCTTCAAACGTCTCAATGACCACGATTTTGATTCGATATTATTAAATATGTATTTTCAAAGTTCTTTTATTTCATCAGTATATCAACAAAGGTGATGATAGGCCTGTGTGAGCATTGCATTTGTTCGTATATCGACTTATATGTGTTTAATATTTTTTTTTTTCAAATGGCGTTATTGGAATTACTAGAATTGTTGTTAAACAGAAACAATGACACCCCTACCCCTCCCCTTCCCAGCCTCGATTCCCTCTCTCTTTATTCACTAAATTTATTGAAAGGTATTTCGCCAAATTTGGCGTCAGATACTGAATCTTGAAGGATGTCATGAAAATGTGGCTACGACCGGACGTGTGCGTGATGCCACGCCATCAAATTGTCCCTTAAATTGTCTCTTGGTAGAAGCATTTAGTTTACATGTAGTTTATTGTTGCTTTGATAATGATGTTCAGATGCCTTTATCACTTGGCCACCGCTAATAGAATCAAGCGTCCTTACAATACATTATATACTGAGAGAATATTAAACAAATAAACAATAGAAAAAAAAACCGCGACGGAATAAACATTTTTCACAAATACAAAACCAAACAACTAGGTACATGTGTACTTATTCCCTTTAGGTAAACTTTAATCGGTCAACAGGGACATCATATAGATACTATTCAGTCAAGTATTGATGATTCTTGGATTACGGTAGTATAAATACAAATATCATGTTTAGTGAAAAACAACAAGAAAATACCAGCATTGCAACGTAACTATAATCCAAACCAAAATTCAATAAAGGCAGGATATAAACAAAAGAAAATTTTACTCCGAAACTGTGGAGGTCTCCAAGTCCCCGAGGTTTATCGTTAGCCGCATGCCACGTTTTAATTCATTCGAACAGTGTCACACGGTTCAGAATATACACATGTACTTGACGTTGTTCATAAATGATCTTATATATGGAAATTACGAAATTTATTCGGTTATGAAGCTGTTGCACATCCCCGTCTAGATTTTGTTTTGGGATTTTTTTTCCCGATCACTTTCAATTTTCCTTAGCCATTTCCCCGGATTCAAATTATAGGCCATTATGATCACTGACGAGTCCTAGAAGGATGAAACAGCTGTATGATGCAGTTTGATTCATTATTTGCCTCTACTCTATCTAACTCTTAATGATTAAAAACTGCTGTTCACTTGTGCAATCATTTATACTATAAAAATATATCTAATATTCATTTTAATTTCCTATCATTCCAGAAAGACAACCTGACTAAATTAGATCGCTGTGGGGATTGGAACAACGTAGAAGGCGAGAAATCGAATGGTTCTGTTTTCAACACATCCACAAATAATAACTGTTCCAGAGGAAACTTCGATTTATCTGACATACTACTGAACAACCAAAGCCTTACATGGATCAATAACAGTAATCAGTACAAGAGTTCAATAGGTCATGATTTTTTCACCTACGTCACCCCTTTTATTTTCACTATTGGCCTTGTAGGGAACATTTTATCCCTCAGGGTGTTCCTCACAAAAAACATGCGTAAGCTTTCCGCTAGTGTTTACCTTGCCGCACTTTCTGTCGCTGATCTTATGGCCCTCTGTTTCTATGTCTTGACGGAGTGGATCCGACGGGGAATTCCCGCCGAAAATGGTCACGTGACAGCATCGTTTCTGGAACAAAATGGCGTTTGTCAGACTCTGCTGTATCTACAGTACATTTCGCGTTTTCTGTGCCCGTGGCTTGTCGCATGCTTCACGCTTGAGCGTTATATCGGGGTGTGTCATCCACTCAAACGGAAGGATATCTGTGACGTCAGATCTTCCAGAAAAATCGTGTTCACGCTTATCATTTTGGCTTTAATCGTCTGCTCCTATAAACCGTTCATGAGCAAAGTACACGTGGCGGGAAATTACAACGCGCCAACCTGCACACGCAATGAAGATCACAAATATTTGTCATTCGTGTTGGACTGCGTGTTCGGAATATCTATTACCTTTCTGCCTTTCGTTATTATCACGGTACTAAACGCCTTCATCATCCGGAAGTTGTTCATTCGGAACAAGCGACATCGGGAGTGCAAGGTAATTACGGAGGAGAGCATTATCCGGCTGGAGTTCACATTTATTCTCATAGCCATATCATTCTGCTTTATAGCGTTTAACGTCCCGTACACTGTCGTCTGGTACAAGCTCTTCGTCCTGTCACGTGACAAAGTAGAAAAGGTCTCCTTCCGCGAAACACAAGATCTGCTCAATTTTACGCGAACAATCTTTTACATAAACTACTGCATCAACTTTTTTCTGTACAGCGTTACCGGAGCCTACTTCCGGAAAGAGCTCAAGATGTTGTTCACATATAAAAGTAAAGCGTATCAGAATTATCATCGATGTTCTGTGCATAATTCCAACTCCAACACACCCCAGTCATGGTTATAAATTTTTACGGAAATAGAGAAAGCCAATTCCGGAAACGGATACAGAGTTGACTGACCGGATATTGAAAGGCGTGTATTGGTGGATTGTAACAAAGAAAAGTCATTTATGTATATATTTATTGTTTGTATTCAGATGATTACTTGCTTAAGTTTTCTTTAATCGTACCTACTTATCCCGGAAGTGAAAATCTATCATTCAGATTTGTACTTTTGTTTGTATCTTGTTTACATTAAATCATTCTCAGCTATATTCTTTTTTATTTCTTTATTTCTAATTTTATCAATTATTTTGAAAACAAAAATCACACGAACTCAAATGGCAAAAAAATGACCTTCAAGCGGTCAGTTTGTTAGGCTCCGTATTCCAACAACGTTATATTTGAATAACAGAGAATACTTTTTCGGGAACATAAAGAGAAAATTGGCGTCTATTTGAACAATGATTATTCTCACGGTTGGATGCTAGAACAGTGATTTTATTTAACTCCAAATCAACATTCAACAAAGGAGATGGGTATATAATTGTGACGAGGACAGGTAATATTTATACAATAAGGACCGATATCGTTAGAATTTGACTTAGGATTTGAAACTTATAAAGGAAATATCAAGTATCAAAATGACAATGAAATCATTTGTATTGATTTAAAAATCAATAATAGTATCGAACTGTTCCACGTCACTAATATATTCCAGGTAACAAAGCAATATTAATAGTGCACGAAATTCAAGACCGCGTTTGGTATTTGAGCATCATTTGAAAAACCAAATATAACAAAAAAAGATCACAACTCCTAAACAATTAATCAGTCTTGGTAGCACGGTATCGACATTCATGTACCCAGTTTCCTTAAAATGATAACGACATATTAGACTTTAGCTTTTTAGCCTTCTTAAAAGCCAGCTTTTTCTGTCAACGTCGGAACAAATAGTTTTAGCCTCTTTAAAAGACATCGACATATTGTTGTCAGCTTTCTTCTGTCGACTTGGACACAAGATCGTTTTAGCCTTTTTAAAAGACATCGACATATCGTAGTCAGCTTTCTTTTGTCAACGTCGGAACAAAATCGTTTTAGCCTCTTTAAAAGACATCGACATATTGTTGTCAGCTTTCTTCTGTCGACTTGGACACAAGATCGTTTTAGCCTTTTTAAAAGACATCGACATATCGTAGTCAGCTTTATTTTGTCAACGTCGACACTAGATAAGTTTAGCCTTCTTAAAAAGATGTCGACATTATGTTTTATAAAAGTATATTGCAACGATGATTTCGCTTGTTTTTTTTTTTTTTTTACCAAGAAACGAATAACTCCGGTCAGAATTAAAGACCAAACAATCAAGCACAATTAATTACATATCACATGAGCAAGGTTGTGGTTGCAAGTTAGCAAGACTATAAACTACTGAGACGTAAAAAATACTTTGATGTAAGATATTGAGTTTATATTCGGTTACAATATTATTGGAAATGTCCGGACAACATATCATACCTTTATTTTAAAGAAGTATTTTTGGTTTTTATTGATTGAATGAAATTCAGAGTCTTAATATATATTTGCTCATTCATAACAGATTATCACGTCTGTGCATGTCCTTGTGACGTCGCTTTATGAAGAAAGTGACTCTGATCTGGATGTTCCCTCCGTTTTTCTCTTCCACATGCACGCCTTTCTTTATCCGTCAACTTTCTTGTCTTTCGCTATATATGTTCTTTGTCAACCTAAGTATGCTTGTATATGTGTATATATATGTGTGTGTATTGTCAGTGTATACTCACTTTTGATGTTACAGTCGATCTAAGCACACACGTTTTAAAGACTGTAGCACACCACCAAAATGTATATCGACTGACCCTCACGGATGCAGAACGCTTTCAATATTTCTTTCCAGATCTAGGCCCTACATATCGCTGATTTCATGTCTATGAAAACAAAACGGTTATATCTGCAGTTTCACTCATTGTTCGGCCTTCATGTATCTAAAGGTGAAACCGATTTGAGAAGTACTTTTCACTTGTGCGTGTTTGTCAAATCACAGGACAAAACATTTCAAGAAGAAACCTGTAAAATCCATGAAAACCACTGGCAGATCAAACGAAATGCTTTTTACTGATAATCGTGGTTTAACCTAATTCTTTCATCAAAAATGCTGTAATTTTCATTGAAGTCTATTTCACCCTCAATGTGCTTTTCTCCTATTTTCTCGTGGTCCTATTTTTTCCTCTAACAAACATTTAAAGGAACTGCTGATATAATCATGTATATAATTCTCCAAACGAAACCTACCAATCAGACACCTATCCAAGGTAACTCAATATATTTATCTACCAATCATACCACATATTCTCTCCAGGTATCGCATGCGCATGTGCAGCTGACCTTGACCCTGTTATTGGTCTTAATGCTAAATTCACTTTTGTGTATAATAATATCATACAGCAAATTTACGACAGTATTTTTTTTCTAAACACAATGCTTTCTGCAACGATCACATATTCTGATGACGTAACACCACAAAGAACACATTAAAATGTCACATGCACCCTGTTACCTCTGCAAAAAAATACACGGTACCATATGGAAATATTAAAAAAGAATAAGCTCAGGTATTCCAGAGGAACACGTGTCTTCTGACCGTTTAACGACACGCGTCGTAAATCCATGTAAGTTCCAAAATATAAACGGTAAACAACGTAAAAAACAACGGATCAACCAGTTTATCATGGAACATCGATGTTGTTATGATGACTATAAAACCTCTCGTTACAAAGCATTTTCACGTGTTGCACCACAGTTATTAAAGACAAATTGTCTCGACTTTGATATAGATGACGTCAACACCTTCCCAAACTTCACTTTCGTAATTTTTCAGATCAGTATCCTAGCAACGGAGGACTCTAGCAGGAAGATTTTCAAATCATCATACGACAGTCAGAAGTAATGTAAGATATTTAATAAGTAACGGATAGGCATATTGCCTTCCGATTGGGCAATTTTAAGTTAAGGACAGTTCCTTCAGTGAAGGAAGATTAATGAAACTGTCTTGCACCGAACACTTGGAAATCCAGTATTAGAGTTATTAAAATCGAAAAAGAAATTTTCAGATATCAAATTGGATATTTGCTGTTGCCGCAGTATCCAATAGTCTGAGAGAAATATTTTTCAGTAAAAACAAATCTGTAGACGCATATGAAACATAACTCTACAGTGATTGTCAAAGATGTGAAATTATGTATGGGTTATTTTCACAGGAAAATTGGCTCTAGGCTTTTCAGATGACGTAAGATTTAGAAAAAGAATCTTCTTCAGTTCGTTGCGTGACCATCCTTTGGATTGTCAGCTAGCAGGGAGATCTGATTGGATAACGAATCTGATCCTTTATCGAGATATAGCCTCGTTTTCGTTGTTGTTTTTATTTAGTCACAACTTTCGAGCCCTGAAGACTCGGTCTGGGTCATTCAGTCAATTCTGTAAACGTTGGATGTATGTACTGGATTATTTCTAACGAAGATTAATTTTACGTTAACTCCCTGTACCCTGCATTCAACAAAGTATCACGTTGTACACGAGACATTGGTAACACAGATGATGAAATGGTGAAAGGTCATATATTCCACATGTAAATTGTTCAGTAATACCAACTGTCGCTATTCGAGTAGGTTCCAGTCTAAAATTAATGTGTCGTGATTCGATTCAAATTGTGTTCCTTACATGCTACGGCTTCATGTAAATAGCTCTAAATTGGTACCCCGAGAGGGGAGAGTGATCACATGACATATCTCGCAAACTTTCGGTTACGACGGGGTTTTTTCTGTTAATTTTTTTGCCCTACAGGCAAACATTAAACCTGAGAGCTTCAATTGACAAATGAACCCGCGGTATTTGATCCGCAGTAGAGCATATTCCGGAATGATTAGACTCAGGTAATGACTACATAGAAGAACTGTAGCGTGAATTTGGTTTTCGAGCAATATTAGAGCATGCAAGTAGCCAAAAGACATTGTCGACATGTCAACAAATTCTTATTCCAACACAAAATAAACAAAACGATAGAAAACTAGTAACAAATTTCATTTTTTTGTTCAAAGGAGAAGGATTGAAAAGACCAGGTGTTCCGGAAAGTATAGCGTTTTCTTATTCATCTACGACCCCTGTCATGTCAATTCTTACGAAGTAAGTTATGTCACGTTCATTAACGAGAACAAGATTACCAACAACCCAGCCACCGGATACCAAGATATATTAAAGAGCATCGAAAATATCTAACTTCATATCGCACAAGAACATACACAATTTCAAAATAACATCATGATGACAGTCATGTTACTTTACTATAGTTTCATCAAATTACATTTCTGAAAACCATGTGTGATAAGTTTCAAGGTCATACTTATTTATACAGAAATCGTGATAATGCAAGCAAGTCCTTGAATATCGAATAAACTTTATATACATACACTTTTTCCTGGGAAGCCCTACTAATGCAGTGCTATAAAAGTTTAAATCTGAAAGTATCCCTATACCTTCTGTAACAGTTTTAGGTGTTAAGGAATTTCATATCTCACAGATAACTGTCATTTTTATGTCCCCGGATCGCAAGAATTTTTGTACAGTCTGTTTCTTTGTTGTCAACATTAACCTTTCGCATCACTATTGCACCATACGGTGTACGACTTTCATATGTTACATATGTGTTCCTTGTGCCAAGACCTTTACGTTGGTACCAAATTATTTTTACCATATGACCTTGACTGTGACTTTTGACCTACATTTGAAAAAAAAATCCACATTGGCCATAACTATTGAACATAAAAGATTGAACATTGAAGATATAAGTGTTTCACAAAGTGTTCATGTAATCAGCACATGTCTTTCTCAATACAGTTTTAATGTCTCACTTCAGAAGACTGTTGCTACTAGAGGCATAGTGTTTATAAGTACATCTTGTTTATTATTATTATTCTAACTTGCCGTCTAGATATCCACACTGCAGACCTCTGTC